AATGGGTATAATGAGTATGCTTCTCATTAGATTGAACTACTTTAGCATCTGGTAGTGTTGATTAGTCAATCAGATTATAGGATGTTAAAACAGGATAATAAAAAGCCTAATTAGATGGTCATAGTGAATGGGTATAATGAGTATGCTTCTCATTAGATTGAACTACTTTAGCATCTGGTAGTGTTGATTAGTCAATTAGATGATGGAATGTTAAAACTTGATAATAATAAGCCAAATTAATTTTCAAAGAGTATATTTAAGGTGGAGGTTTATTTAATTTTATTGCATAAACAAAAAAATAAAATAAGAAATAGATTTGCCATCTAAAATGAATAATTTAAATACTCAATAGCAATTTAGATAGCTCTTGTGCTGTTATGCATTCATTTTGCAAGAGCAAATTTACATAGAAATGTAAATCATTTAAGGTACTTTCGTAGTATTAGACAATAAATTATGAAGTTTTGGTTTAACAAAAAGAAGTGTAATAATAAATGCTTGTCTGAATTGAATTAAATGTATCAGTAATTCAATGGGACAGAGTTATTACAATTTAATTCAGAATTCAAATATTCTTAATAATGATCTTCTAATGCATATTTAAATAGAGTGAATTCAATGAAATATTTAGTGGAGGAATTAGCTCATTTTTATTTTTTTACATGATTTTAGCATTCAGAGAGAAATAAGTAAAAAGCATTTGTTATGGCTCTAAATTTGATTATTATAAAAAGCGCATATAATGGGTAAGGGAGGAAGCATTATAAACAACCCTATACCTGCGGCTTTTAATTCTTTCTCTATATATTTATGGTATAATTCAAAAAGTTTAAAAGACTTTTTCTAAAAATAATTAAATTTTTGCATAGCCTAACAATTTTTTAGTATACATATAAGTTGGTTAATTGTTTCATAATTAGAGTTAGGAAAGTTCTTAATGAAATAAATAATGTATTACATTACATTCTAATATAGAAAATGCAATTCCTGCTCCATAACCTTCAATTTTCCATTTTTTTAAATTGCTTCAAATTTAAGTGTAAACCAATATAATGTTCAATATCTTGATAAATCTTTTTATTAGATTCCACATGATAATATTCCAATTTCTTAAGATAAATCAGCTACTTCTTTATCTGCAAATAATAGTACATGACCTGAACCTAATAAATTTTTATATAACTACTCCTGATTCTGGGGTGTATTCAGGTGTAGAATGATGTATAATTTATTAAGTATAATTAAAATTCTATTCGTTGCTTTTGACCATATTCTATTTCTGCTATTAGATAAGCATCAATGTCTCTCAATTATTGTATTTTATATTCTAATCCCAAAGCATTTTCTATTTTTTAAAGATTTTTTAAATATCTTTATGACATCACTTGCT